CCCCACTCTCGCTGCAGGGTGCACATCATCGGCAGGCGCACGGCCAGTAGCTACATCGCAGGTTTGGCCCCAAACATCGCCAACGATTGGCTCATGAAGGACGACATCATCAGACTGCGGGTGCCCCTGACGGCCTCCAGGCTCTTGCTGGACCTCAGCATCCCCAACGGCAGTGGCCTCCCTGTGTCCTTGGACCAGGCTGGGGTCGCCTTCATCTGCCCCTCTCCCTCCCACCGCCCACCCCCTCCCCAGCCTCTGCCCCCCCCCCCCGAACCTAGCGGCAACCAAGCAAGCGAGCGAGCTTACTTCCCTTTAGCAAGCCAGCAAGCGCGGTGTGGCGGTGGTTGTCGTCGTCGTCGTCGGCGTCGTCGCACCCATGCACCCTGGCGTCATCTGTCTCCGCCCCGAGAGGCCCTGAACCTGAGCGCGCTCATGAGGGAGGTGAGGCGCCTGATGGAGGACCCCGAGGAGAACGGGAAGCTGCGCTTCGGCGGTCTGACCCGCAAGGAGGACAGCCCCCTGCGAGCCGATGGAGGGGGAGGGGGATGAGGAGTAGGAGGATCAGTAGCGGGGCGCTTGCTTGCCTGCGTGGGCCATCCAGGATCCAGTTGGAGTAGGAGGACCGCGACTGGGAAAGACATAGGGTCCCAAGAGGGCCCCGAGCGGGTCTCAAGACGGCCCCAAGAAGGGCCCAAGACGGCCCCAAGAGGGGAGGCCCCAGGCGGCCCCAGGAAGCAAAGTGGCTGAAAGGGATGGGGGATGAGGAGGAGGAAATATGGTGGGGAGAGGCGGAGGAATTTGGGAGTGCTCGTTTTGGCGGATCTGTGGGGGTGCTCGGTTTGGCGGATCTTCGGGGGTGCTCGTGGGGGGATCTTTGGGGGTGCTCGTTTTGGCTGATCTTTGGGGGTGCTCGTTTTGGCGGATCTTTGGGGGTGTTCGTTTTGGCGGATCTTTGGGGGTGCTCGGTTTGGCGGAGCTTTGGGGGTGCTCGTTTTGGCGGGGGGAGGGGGGGGGGGGGGGAAGGAGGGGGGATGGGCGAGGACGAGGACGAGAAACATGATGATGCTGATGATGATGAAGGTGATGGTGGTGACGATGATGACAAGCATGATGACAATTATGAGGGATTAGGTCGCCCTCTGCTTGCTGCCCGTCATCGTGGCAACTTTGGCTCAGGAGATTTCGGGGCCTCGGCTTCTCTTAGTCGGTTTTCAGGCACTTACTGCGAGGGCGTCGCGGGAGCAAGCATGGTCGTCGACCCTTCGATGCAGGCGTCCGCTGGTGGCCTCCTACAGGGCAGTGAAACATCGTCGCCGGCGTCGGGCCACGCACGGCAGGCCACAGGGGCACTGCTCGGAGGACATGCGCCTACGACGCCGCAGCTTGATTCAGGCTCTGGCGTTTCGGGGGTTCCGTTCGGCTTGGCGAATCCCGTTGAGGAGCAGGCTGCTGAGGAGGATAAGTTCCTTTGCCTCAAGGAGAACCGTTGGGTTCCTAGGAGTGAGAAGTCCAAGGGGCAGAACCAGGCCGACTCATGCGAAACATGCGTTGCGAATTACAAAGGCCTCACCCGCCGTTGGGCCAAGGACAAGAAGCTTAAAACGTGGTGGGCTGACAAGGCGCCGCAGGAGAAGGAGGAGTGGTACTGCAGCCACAAGGATGCCACGGGCGCCGTCAAGCGCACCGCGGGGTCGCGGCTGAAGATCACGACTGGCAGGGTCAAAGAAACTGGAAAGGAGGAGCGTAAGCGTGTCTGGTGGCAGCCATGCAGCATTCGGTGCGGAGTGGAGTACATGACGAAGCACCCGAACTGGACACAACGGGACTGCTGGCAGGAGTGGCAGAAAGAGCTGATGTCCGATGGTGTGATGAAGAAGAAGAAGAACGACAGAGGTGAATGGCTGATCGGCGAGTACCAGGGGGAGATGGAGGACCTCGTCGACACCGACAAGTTCCAGCAGGTGGTGGCCTCGGACTCCATGGGTTAACTCATTAACTGTCTGGGGGTGAGTGAGGTTTGTTTCGCTGGTTTGGTCAACCTTCACTGTCGGGAGCTGGTAGGTGCAGCACCCAGCCCATATATATATACATATATATATATATATATATATGCATACATATATATACTGTATATACATATATATATCGTGTATATATATGGTGTCTCCTCTTGTTTTCACCCCAGGATACCACCGCAGATGACGTTGATGCTGCCATGGAGCTCCTGCAGCAGGCTGGGAATGCTCGCGACGCTCACGCCCAGAGCTCATCCTGGTCTGGATTGGACATGCCAGCGAGGGCGAATCCAGAGGGACTTTCGAACGTACCTGATGAGATGGTCGCTGGCGTCTTGGAACGCAGTGTATCCATGCACGACGACCGCGACAACGAGGACTTCCTCTCAATGGTGGGGCAAGCGCAGGCAGCGAAGCGCAGCTACGACGAGCTCCTCCTGAGCGACAGCGCAGCTGCAGCAGCCTATGCTGCGACGCGGCCAGAGCAGGAGCCCGCTGAAGGCAAATCGAAGGAGGCTGAGCTGCTGGCGATGAACGGCAATATCGATGCCCATCTGGTGGCGATTGCGAACAAGTTCTCCGCCGCTGGGCTGGATGCCAAGTCGTTCATATCCTACCTCGCCAACGAGGTCGAGAAGGGGGAGTCGTTGAACACAGACGTCGAGGCCATGTTCACCAAGCTCAAGACCTACGTCTCCCAGCTGCCTGGGGAGGTGCAGAAGGTGTCCGAGGAGTGCAAGGCCCTTGCCAAGGCGGAGAAGCCCGACTCGGGTAAGATCAAGGAGGAATTGAAGCGTGTAGCCACCGAGTACACCAAGCAGGAGTCCACCTTCGGCCAGATGCAGGCAGCCTTGAAGATGCTCAAGATGCGCGTCGGGTTCCAGTCGAGGCTGGCCAAGAGGATCAAGCTTCGTCGGGGTATCGCTCAGGAGGACCTGACGGCCACGGAACACAGCGCACGTTTCCAATTCGTTCTGTCCCACCTCAAGCAGAACCAGAACATCGCCACCACGTGGGACGCTGTGCTGCAGGGGAAGCCGGCCATCCTTCAGCTCGACGAGGCCAGCCAGGCCGAGGCCAAGAAGGGCGCAGCCTACAAGGCAATGCTCAAGTGGTTCTCTGCGCAGTTGGAGAAGCAGGAGTACGGCAAGCAGGGTATCCAGGTCGTTCAAATGTATATCCAGCAGGCGCTGCCCCATTCTCCACCTCCTCCTCTCCTTCCCTTCCCTCTCCTCCTCCTCATGTCCTTTTCCACCTTCTCTTCTCCCTCTCTCTCTCTCTCTCTCTCTCTCTCTCTCTCTCTCTCTCTCTCTCTCTCTCTCTCTTTCTCTCTCCCTCTCTCTCCCTCCCTCCTCCACCTCCACTTCCCCCTGGTCCTCCTCCTCCCCACCTCCCTGCTCCTCCCCGCCCATCCTTCCTCCTCTCGCTTGCTGCCTGCAGGCTGCCGTCGTGAATCAGATCTCGAAGGCGCTCTTCAACAAGGTGGGCATGCCGCGTGAGTTCGAGAAGCCGTTGCGCGCCCGCATCCCCGTGCCTGAGGCGACGTGCAGGGAGGTGGGCAAGTGGATGCTCTACCAGGGCGTGGAGCATCACACCGTCGGGATGCCCACGGCGTATGGATTGACAGAGCAGAGGCTGCTCTTAGAGGGGAAGGAATTGGTGATCGGGTTATCCTTCGTCGTCTTGGCGCGCCCCCTGAAGGAGGCTATGGAGGAGCTGGAGACTTCTCCTGGCATTGACCTCGTGAAGGCAGCCAGCGAGGCCCCCAATTTCATGGTGATCATTCCTCCGTGGCACATCGTTACACTGCCCGCGGGCTACATCTACCTGACGTTCCGCATGGAGGAGACCATGGGCATCAAGTGGAACACGTTCAACATGGTCGGCGAGTCCTGCGGTGTAGGTCAGGGGGCATGTCTGGCGCACCGTTGGTGCAGCGCTCTGCTCGAGGCGTACCCTGCTCTTGTCAAGGGCTCGCCGCAGTGCGTGCAGATCCTGAAGGCCTGCCAGGCGAAGTTTGGCACGTCGACGCCGCAGAGCAATGTGCCGATGGCCATCCTCGGCGGTGGCGATGGCGGTGGTGTGGTGGCTGAGCCTGCTCCTACCCTGGAAGAGCCGAAGCTCCCGTCCCAGGAGTTTGACCCGACCCATACCCTTATGGCTTCCGCGGAAGCGGGGGCTGCCGCTCCTCTTCCCGCGGGCGCGCAGGCTGTCCTTACGGCTCATGCGGCTGCTGAGGCAGGTGCCAGTGACGTAGGTGCAGCAGCGGGGCGCAAGGATTTTCTGACTGCCTTGTCAGGTGGCCCCAAGGCCCTTCCTGTTTCCAAGAGAGAAACGGGCGGCATTTCAGCAGCGGACAAGGCCGCAGCAAAAGCAGCCAAGGCGGAGGCCAAGGCCAAGGCCGCAGCAATTGCAGCCAAGGCGGAGGCCCAGGCCGCAGCTGCAGCTTCAGTAAAAGGCACAGCTGGTGGGAAAGCCCCCCGATGCTCCTGTATCTGCTGAGCAGGCCCATGCCTGAAACCGTTGCAATCCTAGTGCTGCCAGTCGCCCCGTGTTACAGAGCTGGGCGCTGAGCAGCGCAGGCCGCTGCGCGTTGTGCAATCCAAGGCTTTCGCCTCTTGCCGCCAGTTGGACGTTGGTTATCATCAGATCATCGGACGTCTTATGATTTTCGGGTACCTGTCCAGTTGAGTTAAGACTTGCGGTCTCTCTTGCCATCAGCCAGCGATCCTGACACCAGCCTTGTTTTCAGTGTAGTGATGTCTAGCTGACTCCATGGCCATGCTAGTGCTGCGAGTTTCCGCGTGTACAGGCGGGGCGCTGCTCAGCAGAGGCCACTGCGCGGCGTGGACATCCAGGCTTTCGCCATTTGCCGCCAGCGTGATTGAACTTGGCTGCACGTTTGAGTTTTACATTCGTTTCCGCGCTCGCTGAGCTTGATATGTACACTTGTTCTCACCGCCAGCAGTTTCCCGAAGGCAAGGGTGAAGCGTTCGATCCTGCTCCTGTGTCCCTCCTGGGATGGCGGATCGGTCGCATTGGGGCGCGAGCTAGGTAGCTCTTCTTGCATGGTACGCCACCTCTCTCCCCCGCTAATCACGAAGCGACCCTCCACCCCGAACATCTCTCGATTCCTACATCCCCAGAATTCAACGTAGCTACCTACGAGCTTGCGGAGGCACCAGCGCCCGCGGATTCCAACCTGCTAGACTCGATGTGGTGAATCATTGCTTTCTCTCCGTTTATCCCCACTGGCCCACCCGTGTACTGTCTTCCCGTCCTCGTCGCCTCTGCGAGAGGTACAGTCAATCGTCCCTCTGATCCCTCTCCCCTCCGCCTCTCATTTCACCCACTCTTTCTCAGCATCCCTCGTCCTCCGCACCCCGTCGACCTCTGAGCGTCGTCGCCAGCGTCATCGTTGTCGTCGTCGCGTCGTCCACCTTCTCTTTGGTTCGCCCATTGCGCACATTGAATCATTTGTGCCGCAGGACTCGGTGCGCGGGCTCCAGTTCCGCACCGACGACAAAACCTTGTGCATCACGACCCACTCGAAGTACCTCTGGGCATGCAGTCTCGGCCAGGGGACGGTTCCTGAGAACTTGGAGGTGAATAGGTACGTGACGCCAGCGGAAATGTTTAAGTTCCAGGGGTTTGCATGCCTCCCAGAAGGCTTGGCAGGCCCCCCCCATCCAGGTGAAAGCTGTCGGAAACACGATGTGTTTGCCGTGCGTAGGGGCCGCCATGCTCATGGCCATGCACCACTCCCCGTATTTTTTCAGTGACTAACTCGTGTTTTGCAGCTCGGCCTTAGCAGCACGGGGCGTACCGAAAGCTTCGCTGTCTCCCCGCCGCCCACGCAACCACAAAGCACCAGCACGCACGCACGCGGGTTTTCTACATGATAGATCTGGTGCATCGCTGGTCGCTGCAAATCGAGGGTCGACGTATCAGTCGGAAGTGTTCAGACACCTGGGTTGCCCACTGGCGGCAAGAGGTTTAGGTCCTCGCGGGTGCCGTCGTGGGGCATGCAGTGCCATTTGTTCAGCCGTTGGCGTGCATGTAGGGCGGATCGCTCAGCCTCGCTGCTGCTCCTTAGCCTATGCGTAGGCGTGTCGCCGACGACGACGAAGTGACCACTAATTTACTCATGAGGATGTGTAGTCTCGCGGAGTTGTGGAAACAACAAGCCGTGGGCAAAGCCGAAACGCCATTGCTGCGAATGTTGCTGTCGATCGGGCCGCGTCGAATCGTTGCTGCCGTGGTGGGCACTCCCAGCTGAGTAACGCCGAAACGTCGTTGGTGCGAGGGGCACAGTCAGAGGCTCAGGATGAGACTTGCGGTTGCTACGGACAGCCCACGAAGGCCAGGGGCTGTATGGTGAGGGGAAGGAGCAGGATGAGGAGGAGGAGGAGGAGGAGGTGGAGGAGAGAGGATAGAATCTGACGATGCCGACAAAGATGAAGAGGTGGATGACACAAACACCACGATAAACATTTTTGATTTCCCCCGCCCCGCTACCACAGTGCCAAAATAATGCACCATGCGTTCAAAATCTCCACCACCATCGCACATAATATCTATGGCATCTTCGCCTGGCGTACCATTTCTGCCTCATGCGTGCGATTTGCGTGAGGGTGTAGCCTATTTGGGGCGCCGTCTGCGGTGTCACGAGCGCCTTTTGTATTTTAGCTGCCAAGGCCACGTCAGGGCCTAGTTTTGGAAAACCTTGCACAGTCGGGGCGCCTGGCACCCCCAAGAAGCATGGACTTAGTACTCGCGAAGGCCCAAGAGACCCCCGAGATGCCCTCGAAAGCCTCATGAGCGACCCAAGAGGAGGCCAGACGTTCGGTCACACTCGCGCCGAGGCCATTGAAGCACTTGTCTGCTGGCCTGTTCTCGTACCTCCACCCTCGCTCCGCGCTTCTCGCTTCTCACCGCCCTCTCCTCGCTCCTCGATTCCCTTTCCTCGCTCTTCGACCCTCTCTTCTCACTCGTCCTCGTTCCACCTCTCTCCTGGCCCCTCGCTTGTTCCTCCTGGCTATTGGCGTCTGCCTCCCCCCTTCTCTTGTCGGGCCGCACGAGAGGGTAGGATAGGGAAAGGGGGGGTACGAAATACGAAGTCTGCTGCTGCTGGTTTCTGGACCGCCGCCGGGTCCATCCCTCGATGTATGGACGACGCCTCCCAGCGCCAGGAGGCGCCTGGAACACCAGCCACGTGAGCCTGATTCTCTACCCTACCCTTTGCTATCTTACCTCAAGTCGGGTATGTCCCTCTACAGGAAGAATTCTCAAGAATAGTAAGAAACTAGTCTGGGGACGATTGCCCGTACTCTTTGACGATTAGTTTGATTGTTGCCTGGCTGTTTTTTTTTCAGTCTTCTTACCAAAGCCACCGATAGGAGGGCATGCCCGACCGAGGCATTACCCCTTGCTATCTTACCCACAGCAGAAGTTCCCCACCTCCTCTTCGCTCTCCTCTCCTTGGCCATCGCTCCTCCTCCTCCTCCTCCTCCTCCTCCTCCTCCTCCTCCTCCTCCTCCTCCTCCTCCTCCTCCTCTCGGTGGCGAGCGAGGGGGAGAGGAGGACGAGGAGGAGGAGGAGGAGGAGCACGAGGGGGGGGAGGAGGAGGAGGGAAGGAGAAGGCCTTCTCAGAAGGCTTGGACCCCCCCCGTCCTTTGAGAAGCTTCCTAAGCCTTCCCCGAAGACACACAATACTTTTCAGAAGGCGCGAGGTCTTCTGAGAAGTCCCGCCGCCTTCTGATAATGCCTTATCCTGCTCACTTCCCCCTCTCGCTCGCCGCCGATTCTTGCTCATCACTCCTCGGCCCACTCACGAGCTGCAGGTTGCGTCAGCTAGCAAGAGCATCAAGAAGCACCCCTCTGCAGCCTCAAGCTGCAGCTGTGAGCAGCAGCAGTGCGCAACTATCACCGGCAGCACAGTCAGACCAACCGCATAAAACGGCACCCTACAGCTGCAGGCAGCAATCGCAGGGGCGACGTACGGGACCGACATCATCACGAACGCCTGTCGGCAACATCTTTGCCCTGGCCCAAGGTGTTATCTCGGACAAAGTTTGTGGCCGGTAGGCCACGGGTACATATCAGTCAGCTACAACGCTGGGATAAGCGCGTGCGAGAAGGGCGAGCAGTGGCAGCGTGCGTTGGCGCTGCTCGGCGAGATGTGGGAGGCGACGCTGAAGCCCGACGTCATCAGCTACAGCGCTGCGATCAGCGCTTGCGAGAAGCGCGATCAGTGGCAGCATGCTCTGGCGCTGCTCGGCGAGATGCGGGTGGCGAAGCTGGAGCCCGACGTCATCTCTACTATGGTGCTGGTCCAAGCGCGTCCCAGCAAGGGCGCTCCAAACCCAAGACCGCTCCTGTCGGCTGGCTTGGAGGGCCACTCCAGCAGCCGCTGGCTGGCCTGGGCCCGCCCCTGAAGGCCCCAGCGCAAGAACGCCCCCCGAGGCTCCCGAAGGGGCCCGGGGCAGCGCCAGGACCGCAGCTTTTGCGCGGAGGGGCCCCGCGAGACCGTCAATGTCAAACCCCAGATGGTCTTGCACGCTTTCACAATTTAGCCTTACGTCGGGCGTGCCCCTCTACAGGAGGACATTCGACAATAGTAGAACAAATAGTCGGGGCACGATTTTATGTGCGTGAGTATTTTTGATTATTTCCCAACCATCCTATGGTGTTGTGTCCTCGTTTTGAAGAGACAGCGCCCCGCGGTCCTTCCTCCTCCCGCTGCCCCCCTCCCTTTCCCCATCATCCGCATGATCGTCACTATCATCACCATCGCCTTTCATCCATCAGCATCATCATCTGCATCATCACCCTCATCCACATCATCATCATCCTCATCATAAGCATCATCATCATCGTCATCATCACCATCGTCCCCACCACCCATGTCGGCACACCCCTCACACGTTTTGTGGCCCCATAGGGAGCTCCTCCTAACGTCCCAGTGGCGCAGCTCGCATGGCGGCGCCGCCTTATTTCCCAACCATCCTGTGGTGTTGGGTCCTCGTTTTGAAGAGACGTCGCCCCGCGTTCCTTCCTCCTCCTCCATCCTCCTCCTCCCCTTCCTCCCCCCTCCTCCCCCTCCCACACCCATTCTGGCACACCCCTCACACGTTTCGTGGCCCCATAGGGAGCTCCACCGAATGCCCCAGTGGCTGCGCCCGCATGCGGTTCCACCCCCCATTCTGGCACACCCCTCACACGTTTCGTGGCCCCATAGGGAGCTCCACCGAAGGCCCCAGTGGCTGCGCCCGCATGCGGTTCCACCCCCCATTCTGGCACACCCCTCACACGTTTCGTGGCCCCATAGGGAGCTCCACCGAAGGCCCCAGTGGCTGCGCCCGCATGCGGTTCCACCCCCCATTCTGGCACACCCCTCACACGCTTCGTGGCCCCATCGGGAGGGGGGCCCGCATGCGGTTCCACCCACCATTCTGGCACACCCCTCACACGTTTCGTGGCCCCATAGGGAGCTCCACCGAAGGCCCCAGTGGCTGCGCCCGCATGCGGTTCCACCCCATTCTGGCACACCCCTCACACGCTTCGTGGCCCCATAGGGAGCTCCACCGAAGGCCCCAGTGGCTGCGCCCGCATGCGGTTCCACCCCCCATTCTGGCACACCCCTCACACGTTTCGTGGCCCCATAGGGAGCTCCACCGAAGGCCCCAGTGGCTGCGCCCGCATGCGGTTCCACCCCCCATTCTGGCACACCCCTCACACGTTTCGTGGCCCCATAGGGAGCTCCACCGAAGGCCCCAGTGGCTGCGCCCGCATGCGGTTCCACCCCCCATTCTGGCACACCCCTCACACGTTTCGTGGCCCCATAGGGAGCTCCACCGAAGGCCCCAGTGGCTGCGCCCGCATGCGGTTCCACCCCCCATTCTGGCACACCCCTCACACGTTTCGTGGCCCCATAGGGAGCTCCACCGAAGGCCCCAGTGGCTGCGCCCGCATGCGGTTCCACCCCCCATTCTGGCACACCCCTCACACGTTTCGTGGCCCCATAGGGAGCTCCACCGAAGGCCCCAGTGGCTGCGCCCGCATGCGGTTCCACCCCCCATTCTGGCACACCCCTCACACGTTTCGTGGCTCCATAGGGAGCTCCACCGAGCGCCCCAGTGGCTGCGCTCGCATGCGGTTCCACCCCCCATTCTCGCACACCCCTCACACGTTTCGTGGCCCCATAGGGAGCTCCACCGAACGCCCCAGTGGCTGCGCTCGCATGCGGTTCCACCCCCGCATTTCGGCACACCCCTCACTCGTTTCGTGGCCCGGGAGCGCCACCGAGGAATATATCCACAATTGCGGTATTCACAACTACCTATGGTTGGGTCTTTCGTCAGGCTAATTTGGCACACGCCCCTGGCACGTTTCGTGGCCCCAGAGGGAGCTCCAGCGAAGGTCCCAGTGGCGCAGCTCGCATGGCGGCGCCACTTCATTTTGGCACATCCCTCACACGTTTCGTGGCCCCATAGGGAGCCTCAGCTAAGGTCCCAGCGGCGCAGCTCGCATGGCGGCGCCGACCCATGTCGGCACACCCCTCACACGCTTCGAGGCTTCATAGGGAGCATGTAAGGTCCCAGCGCACTCCCTTCATATTTTTGCGTGGCCGCATAGGGAACTCCAACTAAGGTCCACTGGCGCAGCTCGCATGGCGGCCCCCCCCAGTTTTAGCACACCCCTCACACTTTTCTTGTCCCCGTAGGGAGCTCCAACTAAGGTCCCAGTGGCGCACTCCGCATGGCCCCGCCACCCTATTTTGGCACCCCTCACACGCTTCGTGCCCTCATGGGGAGCTCCATCTAAGGTCCCAGTGGCGCAGCTCGCATGGCGGCGCCGCCCCATTCTGGCACTCCCTTCTTTTTTTTTGCGTGGCCTCATAGAGAGCTCCAGCTAAGGTCCCAGTGGCGCAGCTCGCATGGCGGCGGTTCCCCATTTTGGCACACCCCTCACAAGTTTCTTGTCCCCGTAGGGAGCTCCAACTAAGTTCCCAGCGGCGCACTCCGCATGGCCCCGCCGCCCTATTGTGGCACACCCTTCACACGTTTCGTGGCCATATAAGGAGCTCCGCCTGAGGTCCCAGTGGCGCAGCTCGCATGGCGGCGCCGCCCCATTGTTGGCACACCTCTCACACGTCTCGTCGGTCCTGTGTCCGTCGGCTGTCCCGCGCGCTGTTCCCTCGGCCGACATCGCCCATGTGCGATCCTGGACGGCGGCCGCCACGAGGTCGGGAACGGCAAGAAGGAGGACGACGACATGTGGCTGGAGCTCTACGCGCTGCTCTCGCGCGCCACGCGCCACGATGACCTCCTGCTCATGCGGACGCCGCGCATCGAGTTCTTCCTGGCAGGGCCGCCGGAGGGCTTGTGGACGCAGCTGGAGTAGTTTTGCAGCGCGCACGAAGCGGCGCAGAAGGGAGGCGACGGCCCTCGCCAGGGAGCTGGGTTTCACCGAGTTTAACCGCAAGGCTTGACCTGAGTAGCGACCCGCCCAAGCCTCGCCGTCTCTCGACGGTCTGATTGTTTGGCCTCGCGCCGCGGGCGACCCGCGCGCGTCACTGGGGCCCTCTCGGGGCGACCGGCGCGCGCCGCGGGAACTCCGCGCCGCGCTCTGCCCGGCGCTTCGCTCGCCCCCCTCGTCGCCGTCGCTCTGCCCCGCGGCCAGAGGCTTGCCCGCCGTCGGCCGGCTCTCTGCTCCGCGCAGCGGACGGCCCGCGCGCGTCGCCGGGGCCCCTTCGGAGCGACCGGCGCGCGTCGCGGGGACTCCGCGCGGCGCCGCGCCCGCAGCCGCGGACGCGGGGGCGCGCGGGCAAAGAGGGACAATAATAACGGGGAAGGAGCGGGCGCGATCCTCGCAAGGGGCACGCCGACGTGGGCGTCGGCGTTTGCGCGCGTAGACTCACGCGCGCGTAGAGTCATTCACAATCAGACTCACTCGCGCTCGCGCTCACCCGCTCCCAATCTCTCGCGCGCAGACCGATCGTCTTCGTTCGCGTCGCGTGCCCCGCCGCGCACGTCGGCGCGCCCCCCGCGCGGCCCGTGGTCTCGTAGGGGACGCGGGCGAAGGTGATTTTCGTAATTGCGGTGTCCACAACTGCTTACGGTTGGGTCCTTCGCCAGGATAACTTGTTCAATTATGTTTTGAACATTCTTTCGCGCAAAATCCCCGCGTATGGGTTGCGCGCCCGATTGAAAATTAGCCCACAAATTCGCGACAGAAGGGGGTTCGGAAGCTCGCAGTCGGAAGCCCTCTCGGGCCGCGGGGTCGATTTGTGGTGGCCCACAGGGCCCAACAAGAATTGGGCGAGCACGCGCGCTCCGGGGAGAGGTGGTTGCGGGACCCCCTTCCCAGGCGCGCGCGCTGGAGGCGCCCCCAGGGAGGGGGGGCGGTGGGGCCAGCGCCGGTCCAAAACATCCACGCAGAGCTCCGTGAATGTGCAGTTGTTTCTCCTGTTTGGCCTCGCCTGGGCGTGTGCGTTTTTTTCTGGGCGGGGAACACCGAGGAACATCCTGGACGGTCACCTTGCGGAAAAATAGAGACGCACGATATCGACGAATTGCGCAGGGAATGGACGCCCGAGGGATGGCGAGTTTTTCGAGGAGGGAGGGTCGGGGGAGGAGGTCGCGGACGTTTGAGAGGACCACATGCGCATCCGAATGCGCCCTCGGTTCGCCTCCCAGGGGGCCTCAAGGCAGCCCACCGGGCCGCTCCGAAGGCCCACCGAGGGCCCCTGCGGATCGCCCGCTCACGGCCCGGGTGTCCCGGCGCAGGATCGACCCCCGCCCCAGACGCCCATGGGTCGGAAGAGAAAGCGGTGCCCATACTGCTGCAGTCGGACAGAGGTATGTCAGATTGAGGGTCGGTTTCATGAGGGTGCCCTGATGTTGTTTGTGTTTGTTGGATGTTCTTGTGCAACCTGGGGATGGTGACCTTACATGTTCTGTGCGTTTTGGCCAGCGGAGGGTCGCATGTTCTTGAAGGGCGCTCGTGTGGCCAAGTCCGACTGCACCCTTTCCTCGTTGTCTTCCCCCCTGGGCCTCCTGGGAGGCCGTCGTCGCAAGCCCAAGGGCCAGAGGAGGATCGGGGGCGGAGGAGGGCTCGTTCCGCGGACGCGCGAGAGGGCCACACACGCAACCGAACACGTGACCCCGGCTCGCCTCCGAGAGGCGGCCCCGAGGCGGCCCTGCCCTGACCTTCCGGGAGGGCTAACAAATAACACGCGACTTCAAAACCTATCCCAGAGCTATTCTACGTCTTGGTTTTAGGCTGTTTCGTTTAGTTTTTTAGGTTTTTACGCCTCCCGTGCTAAGAAATAGCTCTCTGGAAGGTCAGGGTGCAGGGCGCCCGCTCTCGCGGCCCAGGGCACCCCAGCACAGGCGGGACTCCGGAGCCCCGACAGGCGGGGGTCCAAGCGGCCCCCGGCGGGCCTCGGCCCTCCGGCCCGCGGGAGGTCCTTGGGGGGGCGGGGGGACGGCGCCCCGCGGCTCGACCTGTGTCCGGGGAGAGTCAGGCTCGAGCACGCCGGAGCCGGGGCTCGCCTGCGCTGTCGGGAGCCCTGGGGCGGGGGTCCGCGCAGACGGGGGTCAGCCAGGGCGCGGGCTCCCTGCAGAGCCAGGGGTGCACTGGCCCGGGCTTGCGAGCAGGGGTCCTGGAGGATCTCGCGGGATCCCGCAAGGCCTGACTGACCTGGGTCTGGATTGACCTGGGTCAGTAGATCCCCGATGGACATCGCCCAGATCCCCCAGAACGACCCCGAGAAACACTCCTCCTCCTCTCAACTGAGGATTCAATGGCGCCGTATAGCCATAAGCGTATCGACACATAGGCGTGTGCGCGCCGGAATTTGCGGCCCTTGCCTGCTTTCTCGGCGTCGTTTTGCTCCTGGCCGACGGCTGCCCTGGGCACGCCGACACCTGGAGACTTGTCGTTCACGGGTTTCTTGCGAGGGTCGTGTTTCTGAGGCCACTCTTCTCCGTGAGAGAAAGAGAGAGAGAGAGAGAGAGAGAGAGAGAGAGAGACAAAAACAGAAACATGAGTTTCAGTGCAGCGGTCAGGCAGTTTATCTAGTTTTTTGGCGGCGCCGTGTGCGTGGCGCCTCCTGTAGTGCATGAGGAAGTTTACTGGGCCGTTAAGCTCAGTTAAATTGAACCCACTGTCGATTTCGGTGGTGTGCCTATGAGCTTAACCTCTTCCCATGATTTCCTTTGCCCTGTACTGTAATACGTTGGTTCAAGCCAGCCAGAGTTATGCGTTGTGTATGGCCCATCCGAGAGGAAAACATATCGTTTCTCACCATCACTGTGTGCCCCCGAGAAGTGTTCATCACACACCACAAGAGAACCAAGACGCCCAAAAGCGCCCAAAGACGTCCTGAGATGGCTTCCAGACGGCCCAGCAGGACCGGACGGGCCCCAACACTTCCCAAGACGGCAACAGCGGACCCCCGACTGGGCCTCCAGGAGCAAAAGCAATTGAGGATGTGTGTGTGAGTCTTTTTGATTGATTTGCGCAGATGGATCTGCGCATGCTCGCTATTCCGGGCCCCGGGATGCTCGGGACGGCCCAAGGAGCTCCCACGATCGACCCAAGACCGCCCCTCATGCCTCCAGGGAGGCCCAAGGACGGCCCAAAAGGCCGCCAAAATGTCCCCAGGACGGGCCCGGCCCAGGGGGTCCAAGACGGCCCCCAAAGCACACCCCCACAACGTCCGTGGACCCCGTCAAGACAGCTTCCTGTGGCCCGACGGCGCGCCCAGATGGCTCCAGGAGACCGACAGCAGGCCCCAAGACGGAGCCAAGAGACCCCCGAGAGACATCCCGAGTGGCTTCCCCTCACGAGTCCCAAACGCCTCCTTCCTTCTAGGCTCTCCCTCCTCCCCCCTCGCTCCTCTCTCCTCGGTCGTCGCCCCTCCTCCCTCTCATCGCTGATCGCTCCTCGCTTCTCATCCCTCCCTGCTCGCCCTCCTCGTTCCTGACGCATCGCTCCGTGAGCCCATCCCAGCAGCAGTTTGCGCCAGCACCGTGACGTAGCCAGAAAAAAACAACGGCTTGCAGCATCAAGTAGCAGCAGCAGCAGCAGCAGCAGCAGCAGCAGCGAAGGACAACACCACGAAGGACGAATCAAGTCGCAGCACCGGCAGGGCAAAGCAGCACGCAGCCGCCGATAGTGGGCGGCAGCACGCACCCAGCAGAGGGTGGGCAGCAATGCGCACCCAGCAGCAGTGGCAATCAGCAGCACCCGACAGCCACAAGCGGCAGCGGCAAGCGACAGCGGCAAGCAGTGCCAGCAGCACGCAAAGTTGGCAGTACGCAGCAGCACGCGGCAGCATGCGCGAAACGCGAAGTGCGACGCCGACTTGACCATGTCACTCTTGCGGCAGCATGTCCACCATCCCATGCCAGTTAGTCCTCCTCCTCCTCCTTCTCCTCCTCCCCCTCCTCTGTCTCCTCCTCCTGCTCCTGCTCCTGCTCCTGCTCCTCCTCCTCCTCCTCGACTCCGCGGATGTAGTCTTAAGTCGGGCCTGTCCCTTTACAGGAGGAATATTCAAAAACGGTATTTTACAAAATAGTCTGGGGACGAGTCTTTTTTATTATGTTTTGAGCACTCGTTGCATCTTTTTTTAGGGGCATCCTAAAATGATTCGTCCAAAGTCCACATGTAGGGGGACACGCCCGATCTAAATGTAGTCCACGGGCTTGCCCCAGTCAGCTACAACGCTGGGATCAGCGCGTGCGAGACGGGCGAGCAGTGGCAGCGGGCTTTGGCGCTGCTTCGCGAGATGCGGGAGGCGAAGCTGGAGCAAGACGTCATCCACGCCACGACATTTGGCCCTGGGCCCCGGGCCCTGGGCGGCGCTGCCATGGCTAAGTCGGGCCTATCCCTCCACAGGAGGAATATTGAAAAATAGAGAGGACATTAATCCGGGCACGATTTGTTTTACAGGCCTGACAAGTGTTTAATATCTTTTACTTGTTGTTCAGATGTTTCGTCCCAAATCCGCCTGTGGGGTGACACGCCCGACCTGATGCCACGGCCGCTCTGCTCGGGGGGCGACGTCGTCCTCAGCGCCCGGACGCCTCCCAGGATCGCCCCCCCCCCACTCTGGACAGACCTCAGAGGCACCGTATATGCGCCCGTGAGCGCCCCAGTGGCGCCAACACGCGCACAAGACTCCGGGGCATTCCCGAAGGCACTCCCAGAGAGGGCCTTCAAAAGTCGTCCCAACTCTTTTCGTCTCCGCTTTGCTACAGTGGCGCCTCGCATAAACTCGGCATGGCCCGACGCGCCACCACGACGGGCCCCCGACGGCCCCAGGGCGCCACATGACGTTTCCCAGAGTGTCCAAGGCGGCGCCAAGAGAGCCCCAGGACTTCCCCGGAGGCTCCTGGAGGGCCCCATGTAGCTACGGAGAGCCCCCAGACGACTCGAGATGGCCTCTAGGGGGCGCTGCGAGAGCACAGAAGACCCAGTGGATACAGTGAAGACCCATGCCAAGAAACGCCCTGCTTGCCTCCAGGGTGCCCTGGGTTTCTTTGGTCTCGATGGAAAGCGTGACGTTGCCACACCAGAAATCAATGGACGATCTGGGGTCTCATGGTTGGGTATCTTGTTGAAGGTTTCTTGTGGACTGGCGTCCGCTGTACCGTAGGTCCGTGTCGTGTCGACCGGCGGTGACCCCGCCAGAGGCGTTCAACTTTAAACGCCGCGGGCGACCCAAAATCGTTCAAGGTTGAACGATCCCCGCGGTGTCAGAAACCAACGCCGAAGTCGTCACGACACGAACCTGACGTATCAGGGTTGGGTTTCTTGTTGAAGGTTTCTTGTGGACTGGCCTCCACTGTAGCCTGGAGGCGCCCCAGGCCCTCAATGCGGCCCCAGAGTGCCAGGGCACGGCCAGCACCCCCAAGGCCAGCAGTGGGAGCCACGAGCAGTTAGCAGTACACCGGCGTCACCCCAACATGCTTGTACTATGTGTGCGTCGCCCCCACAGGGGCGACGCGCGCACCGAGAAATCCTACAGTATACGTGTCGTGGCGGGCGCTTTCTGGCCACACCGCTCGGAAAACGAGGTACTACAAGATGGGTATACTATACGTTCGGGTCGGACGCGCGCCTACAAGGAGGACGTATAGTATTAGTATGTCTCTGTGCGTCCCAGCACATGCAGCAGTCGCAGCAGTGCCTTTTTCCTCCAACGGTTCCACGCCGATCGGCGTCGAAGTTGAGATTGTCCAGAGGAGTTCGGTTTGAGCTCCTTTGTAACAGTGCTCTGGCCCATGTTGCGGACCGCGGTCGACTGGCCGAGTAGTCGTCGGCAGTGCGGAGCTTCAGGGGACGGCGGCTGTTTTTCTGAGGCGTTGCGTTCGGCATGTTGGGGTTAAGGCAGCTCGTTTGGACCTTCTGGGCAGTTGCTGGCGGAATCGTTGTTTCCCACGGAGCATCCAGGTTGCGCCACCTTTGGGGGCCTCTGGCGCCTTCGTGGGGGCTTATTGCCCGTGGATGCTCCTGCAGGGGCATTCTTATGCGTTCTTGGAGCCCTCGTGTCGGAGGGGGGCAGGCGTTGAATGCGAACATTGGTTCTTTTTTTGTCCTGATGTCCTCTGTCGTGGCGGACATGGGTGTGCAAGAGCACTTTCTTGTGTCTTTTCTCCTTCGTATTTTCTCCCTCTCCGCAACGTGTTCGCGGATTTGTGTGATCACGAGGAGAAGGAGGAGGAGGAAGAGGAGGAAGAGGAGGAGGAGGAGGGAGGAAGAGCAGGGAAGGATGAGGATGAAGATAATGATGATGATGATGATGATGATGATGATGATGATGATGATGATGATGATGAGGAGGAGGAGGAGGAGGAGGAGGAGGAGGAGAGGAGGAGGAGGAGGAGGAGCAGGAGGAGCAGGAGCAGGAGGAGGAGGAGGAGGAGGAGGCCTTTCGATAGCTTCTTGGCCCATTGTGGGGCCAAATTTGGTCGTGAACAGTCGCCTTTTTGGGAGGCGTCTTGGGGTCTTTTGGGAGGCCTCTCTGGGGCCTCTTGGCGGTATTTCTGGGGCCTCGAGGGGACCTCTTGTGGGCCTCGCCGGGGTCTCTTGGGTTTCTCGGGGGCCTCTTGGGGGCCTCTTGGGGGCCCTTTGGGGCCTCCTGGGGGCTTCTCTGGGCGTGCAGCTCAAAATGTCCGTACGGGTCTCCCGTCTGGGCCCGCTCTTGGAGCCGTTTGGGGGGTTGCTTGGGCCATCTTTGAGGTCTCTGGGTCTGTCTTGGGGCCCTCTGGGATCGTTTCAGGGCGCTCTTGGAGGGCTCTTGGGTGTGTTGGGGCGATCTTTGGGACTTCTTGGGCCGCCTTGCTGCGCCACGAAGCCGAAACGACGAGAACGCCCAAACCCTTCAAACACCCAATGGAAATCACGAATTCTTACTTTTGGAAGTCCTCTTGGAAGGTCTCTTGGAGGCCTCTTGAGTCGTCATCTTGGGCCGTCTGGAGGCCATCTCGGGCGTCTTGGACCGGCCGCCTGGTGATTCGGAGCCCTCTTGGACCGTCTTGGGGGGTCTCTGGGGGCCTTCCTGGAGCGCTCCTGAGGCGTTATCTCAGGGAGCCTGCTGGGCTGCAGCGGGGCTGCAATCGGGCTGCTTCCGGGGTGCTTTGGGCCCGAGGACCCCCACGGGCCGCCCCGTGCGCGCGAAATAGAGATATGGTTAACAAGTTGCCAGAGATTTGTGCACGCCTCTGGCCCGTTGGGCCAGCGACTTCCATGTCTGTCCACTGTTATTCTGTGCTTGCGAATCCTTGGGTCGAGCAGTGGCGAAGCGCCCTGGCGTGCTTATTGGCCTACCAAATTATGATATGAGAACATTTTGTGGTTTCCACGAAATGTTTTTCCAACGTTTCTGGCTGGGCCTGTCTTGTATTAGCACATCGGGTGTATATTCTACGAGCATTCATTGTTTTTGCTTTTGGAACATTTTGTGGTTCTGTCAACATGTCGTGGTAGACCCGTAGAAATGCCGGGATGTTCGGTCCATGCTCAATTGGATGAATGCTATATTCCGCACCTTGGGGGCCCATTTCCTTCTGCATATGAGCGTGCCTCGCCAGCGATCGGGTTGACCCAAAAGGGGGTCCAGCGACAAGGGGATGGTGCAATAGATTTGGTGCGATTGGTTTGTGGGGTTGCAATACATTTGGGACGTGCAATCGGGGCGCAGATGTATTGCTGGAAATTCGCGTGCAATACATCCCTTGCAATAAAATGCAAAACAGTTCTCCGGGGCAATACGTTTGCAATCCAATTGCCCCAAATCTATTGCACCACACCCCTGCAGCTGGACCCCCTTTTGGGTCACCCAAACATCTCCTTCTGCATATGAGCGTGCCTCGCCAGTTGCCTCTCGAGACCACCGCCGGCCCGAGGCAGGGGGGCGCAAAAATTGCCCACTCGCCCCGTCCCAAGGGGCGCAGGCGATGACCCGCGGCATCGGTTCGGACAAAATCAGGAGGGGAAAACATACACAGACACAATCCATCGGTGTCCCCTAGGGAAATACAGAAAAATATGGGAAGTTGGATGTAAGACGAACATCCAGGAGATATTGGAAAATATGTGGAATCCTCGGATTTGTGTGTATTTGTTTGTGTGTCCTTGGGCACCTTTACAAAACAGTTTCGTTGTCCTGCCTCGTCCGATGTGTTCCAGGGTCAGGAAGGTTGCGCCAAGCAGCAGTGGCACGCGCCGTCTTCATGGGGTGACAGTATAATACACGAGTGGCGCCGACTTGCTTACACTTCCGTATTGCAGTTTCCTCAGGCCTCTCCAGCGCGAACCAAAATATGTTCTTTGGGTGCGATGCAGTGCAGTGGCCCCCAATGCACAAATACTAGTGCAAAAAGGTTTCTCACTCAGCATGTCTCCCCAGAAGGCATACCGTCGGAAGGGGAACAGAGGCAATGCTTCCCGTATGTGTGTCTTGTGGCATTGCTGGGGAAGCGATGGGTTCTGGTGTTCCCACGGATTGCAACCTTTTCAAAATGTCCGAACAACGATTCGCACATGGTTGTGTGGAGAGGCCCAGGGAAGTGGACGTGACAGCAGAGACGCATGGAACACGCTCACACGGTTCACCACCACTGTCGGGCTACACCAATGCTATCGCAGGCTGAAAGCAAAGCACCACATTTGGAGTGCCCTTGTGGGGCTGCTGTCTTCCCCCCAGCGCATTCGACCATGAAATGAGCTCGAATACCCATTTCCGTTATCTCACATGCATACATCGTTTGGCTTGGGCTTCCACGGCAACATAACAACGCCATGACCTAAACATATTTTTGCTAATCCACCGGATTTTCAGTCTGGTACGCGGGACAAGAATTCTTTTGCACGCGCGCGGAACCGGCGGCCTTGGAACGGCATTGTTGCACGATTCAACGAGCACGTTCTGGCCACGCATCGGAACAAAGGATATCAATGTCGTCGCGCGCGCTACGTCGCGTGGCGCAAATGTTCAGCATGGTCGCAGTGCGTCGTCTCAACAACTTCAGGGAGTTCATCACATATCTCGGGGTGTGAGGCGCTGCACATTGCCGTGCTGCGGCCACCGTCGCAGCTCCTCAAGCGGACCTTCGCAACGTGGGTCGACAAGAAAGGTGCGCAGTTTTACGCGCCAGAGAGCGAAGGCGACCATCGAACGCGGGGTGGAGCGGCATCCCATTCTCAAGCTTCGGCGCAGAACTTCGTCGCGTCAGTGTCTCTTGGCGCAAACGGCATCTTGGGAATCATTGCTTACCTGGTGCTCTTCCACGCTGGGTCGGGCGCCCGACCGTGGCCCGAAATAGTACAACCCGAAATTTGCCCCAAGAGGGCCCCGTTTGCGACCCAAGCGGAAAAACCGTGTTCGGCCACGCGCGATTCAAGGCCATTGCGAGGTTTGTGCGAAGGCCGCTCCCCAAGAGTTCCTGACAGTTTCTCGCTCGTTGCTCGTTCGAACGGTAGCCTACCGATCCTGCAGACCTTAATTATGGTACCCCTCTGCCGCCGCCGTCTAGGCCCATGGGCATGGTAGGACCCCACGACGGAACTCCAGAGGCCACTCCGACTCCAGGGGTGCTCCGAGCCGCTCAAGAGGCCGCTCCGACGGCTTCAGACGCCCCCATGGCAGGCCAGGAGCCTCCGAAGACGGCCCTTCAGTATTCCCCAGGACAGCCCCGAGACGCAAAAATCGCTTCATCCCCATCGGAAACCTCACATTGTTAGCATAATCGTGGTTTTCGTCTCCGACGCGTCCACGACGGCCACAGAGCCCCCCACGATCGTCTTAAGAAGCCCCCATCAGGGCCCCAAAATTGGCCCAGGACGGCCCAAGAGGCGCCCAAGACGGCCCAAGAGGCACCCAAGACAACCCACAAGACGAGCCAAGACGGCCTTAAGACGGCCCCACAGGCGCCCAAGACGTCCCCAAGACGGTCCAGAAGGCACCCAAGACAGCCCCAAGAGCCGCCCAAGACGGTCCACGACGGCCCCCAGACGGCCCAAGTTGCGCCCAAGACGGCCAAAGACGGTTCTGAGACGGCCCAAGCGGCACCGACGAAAGCCCGAGAGGGCCCCAAGAGACTTTTGGAAGCCGAAAAGAAGCCTCAAGAGGCCCCCACACGGCCCCCAAGAGTCCCTAAGTGGTTACATAATCTTCTCCAACAGAGGGGAGGTGGACGAGAGGTGGGAGACAGAACGCGGGCCCCAGCAGCCGTTTTGGATGCCCCGAGGGTCTACGATTGACGATTCAAGATCCAGGGCACGCAGGATCGAGGCAAAAAAGCGGAGGAAGAGAAGGAGGAGGAGGAGGAGGAGGAGGAGGAGGAGGAGGCGGAGGAGGCGGAGGCGGAAGAGCAGCAGGAGGAGGAGGAGGAGGAGGAGGAGGAGGAGGAGAAGGGGGAGGGGGAGGAGGAGGAGTGGGAAACCCGAGAAGGCCCAGACGAGAGCCTCATGAGGGTCCAGATGACGTACGGAGCTTCGAACGTGGCCACAAGACGGCCCAAGAGGAGCCCGGCCCTCACCCCCCCCCCAAGAGGCCCCAAGAGGCTTCAAAACTGCTTCCAAGAGAGGGGGCCCGGCGCTCCTGAAATGCCCGAGAGAGCTTGGCCATTGACAGAACTCTGACGAAACGGCCTTTCCAAAGTGGCGGAGCACGTCCAACCCAACATCGGTTTCTGTTAAGATCTGATTGAATGTCACACCCTCTTGAAGCTCTCTTGCGCCCTCCCTTGAGATCCTGGCGAGCCTCCCTGGTGCTCCCGGCGGCTTTCTCCGAGGGCCGTCCGAGCTCTTCCACGGGCGCTCCTGAGACGCCTCAGATGAGTTGCGCTGCAAGAGCTCGGACACGAAGGCGCGGTCTCGCTGCCGCCGCCCCGGCCGTCGGGGTGCTTATATGTTTTCGGGAACATGTCCGCCGTTCTTCCGAGAGCCACTCCAGAAAGATGTCGTGGATGGAGTCCACGGGTCAGCCCTAGTCAGCTACAGCGCTGGGATCAGCGCGTGCGAGAAGGGCGAGCAGTGGCAGCGGGCTTTGACGCTGCTGAGAGAGATGTGTGAGGCGAAAGTGGAGTCCAACGTTATCAGCTACGGCGCCGGGATCACTGCATGCGAGAAAGGAAGGCAGTGGCAGCACGCAGTGTCGCTGCTCCACGATATGTGGAATGCGATGCTGGGGACCCGTGCGATCAGCTACAATGCTGGGATCGGTGCTGTGCCAGCACACTACGCGGCCATCCGTGTGTGTGAGGTCAGCGGTCAGTGGGCCAAGGCACTGGACCTGCTGGAGTCGATGCTGGGAGCCCGCGTAGACACCGCCGCTGCCAAAAACCCAGACGCTGGCAGGTATCTGCACGTCTTCCAAGCAGGTGGCCCAATGGACGTTTTCAAGCACGTCATTCTCGTGGCACTGCTGCAGCAGATGACGTCGGACGTGGATCCCTTCACCTTCATTGACACGCATGCCGGTGCCGGGGTCTATGACTTGAATTCCGAGGAGTCGCTCCGACGCCGGAGGTTTGAGGAGGGAGTGCTCCGACTGTCGCGCGCTGCGGACTCCTGTGGCAGGGGTCTGGTTGCAGACTATCTAGACGCGGTGCGGAGTTGCAATCAGGCGTTGGGCGCCCCTCAACGCGCCATGGGCATCTACCCGGGGTCGCCCGCGCTGGCGTGGCAGTGGTTGCGACCACAAGACTCTGCCGTGTTCTTCGAGGCCGCCGCCGAGCCATATGAGTCCCTGAGGCGTAGTGTTGCCCTGCTGGGCCGAGATGCAGATCGCCGCCCTGTGCTACTGCGGGACGACTCCTACCTGCGCATCGCCCTTGGGCATTTGCCCTGGCCCAGCGGGCGACAGCTGGTCCTGATCGACCCGCCATACGACTCCGTCCAGTCCCATGCGACGTGGAATGTGTACATCATCAGGCGCCTGCTCCAGAGGTCACCCTCCACTTGCGTGGCCCTGTGGTACCCGCTGGTGGACGAGGAGCAGGTCGCGAGCCTGCACGGCCAGGTCCGGAGCCTTGCAGGGCGCAGCGTGTTGGTGGCCGAGATGCGGCTCGAGAATTCGCTTCCGGGTGGATCGGCCCTGCAGGGATCGGGGATGTTGATCGTGAACCCGCCCCCCGCCGTCCACGCCCAGCTTCTTGCCGCGCTGCCTGGGCTCGGCCGGGCGCTGCGAGCTCCGGACTACCGCGTGCTGTGGCTGTGAAGCTTGTCGGCCGGTGAGGCTCTGAAGTCCTCGTCGTCGCCCCCTTGCGCGATTTGTTCCGCCCTGCTCTCAACACCACTAACCCTCCCCAGCTACACGAACAGGAAGATGCGGGAGGCGATGTTGACACACGTCGTCTCCTCTTCTACCATTAAAGACCTCCCTGCTTGCCAGAAGTGCCTGTGTGTAGAAGGATTATCAGACCCCCCCAGGGCCCGAGGGGCTCGAAAGATGAGAAATCTTGGCGCACACTCTTCGACTATCCTTGAGGGTCCTAGAGTGTCCCTGCGCCTCTGTGGGTCCCTGGGGCCATCAAAAGATAATCACAGTGAGGGGGCCGATCGGTCTTACCCAATCCTTGGGGCAAGGAGCGGGGGGGGGGGCGCCCCGGAGACGTGGAGGGGCGCCCCGGCCGCGCCGCCACCGTCAGCGGCGGCAACGTCGGCCCTGGTTGTTGTCGTCGCCGCCGCTGCGCCCCCGGCCAGGCAGTCACCGCCGCTGCGGGCTGCCGCGCGGGCTGCCGCGTGCGTCGCTGCATTCTCCCGCTGTGCCGGACGCCTGCGGCGCCGAGGCCGAGACCGAGTCTCGCCGCCGTGATTTGCGAACTGCGGTTGGGGACTGTTGGCCTCCAGTTCTGGCCTCCTCCTCCACCTCCTCCTCTTCTTCCTCCTTCTCCTTCTCGCCCTCCTCCTCCTCCTCCTCCTCCTCCTCCTTCTCCTCCTCCCCCTCCTTCTCCTCATCCCCCTCCTTCTCCTCCTCCTCCTCCTCCTCCTCCTCCTCCTCGTCCTCCTCCTCCTCTGGTTCTGGCCCACCGCGCTTCGGCGCGACGCTCTGTACACTTCCTGGCCCAGAGGCATCGACGCTCTGAGCCCCGAGTCATCAGGGCTGGGGGCGGTCAGGGGTAACTGCAGCTTCGCGCCTGGGGGGCCCAAGCCAGAGTTACCCGGGACCGCAGCTGTCTCGGATGATTCGGGCGTCCAACCTTCCCGGGTAATCAGAGGCCTCCCAGATGGGGGTCGGAGTAGGTGGGGTCGGAGGATCGCGCCGCACCGCCGATACATCGACGATGCATGGGCAAGACATCGGCGATCCATCGGCGACGTCGACCTGAACCAACTCGGGCGTCACATCGAGCCGCATCGGCGATGCATCGGCGATGCGGCGCGATCCTCCGACCCCATCTGCTCCGACCCCATCGAGGAGGCCTAGAGTCATCAGGGCTGGGGACGGTCAGGGGTAACTGCGGATTCGCGCCTCAGGGGCTCAAGCTGGAGTTACCCCGGGCAGCAGTGCGCCCCGGATGGCTCGGGCATGCAAGCCCCGAGCCTGTACCACGGCATCCCCCCTCCCGGAGCGGAGCGACAAGCCGTCCACTCGCAGGGCACAGCGCGTCGCCGTGGCCGCCGCCGCGGCACGCTGAGCACAAGCTCCTGGCCCACTGCGCGGTTGCCTGCCGGCTCGGGTTTCCAGCACGAGACCCTCCGGAGTCCAGCCCGGATGGCCTACGCAAGGCTTCGGGAAGAGCGTTTGTCAGGCGCGATTGGGCAGGGAGCTCGTTTTCGGCAAAGGTCGTGTCGCTAAAGGATATGCTGTCCGCCCCCGAGTTTTTGGCGAGGGATCGTGACCATTCGAGCGCAGCCCCACTGTATCTCACGACGGGCTCCGACCCCTGGGGCGCGGACCCATTGTTTTCTTAGGATGGAAGGGGGGGCGGTGCATGCAGATGGATGCGTCGAGAGGAACGGGCCCTTAGAAGAACACACAGAAACCCTGCCAGGGAGCATTTGGCCCTCTACCACGTCTCAACGTGCCAGGGGGTACGTTGGCGGATATTGCAGCGTTCGCAGGCGATTGTGGTACTCGCAGGGGCCGTCATCATGTTGCGCGCAGTTGCGTCACCAGTGTGACCAATGGCCGTTCTGGTTGTGGCCGGATTTTTCTGCCGGTTATGGCTGTGGCCGCGAATGGAAACACACGGTCTTCGATGGGTCGCAGGGTCGACACATCGCACGCGACGGAAGGCGGCGCAAGGCCAGCGGAAGACGGAGGCAGAGCGTGGTCGGCTCCGCAGGCGGAAGCCGGTGGAAGGCTCGCGGAGGCAAACACAGACCCCAAGAGATGGCAATGTTCTGTGATTCAGAGTTTCGGACATATGCACAGATGCACTGGCGGAAACGTCAGCAGATTTCCGCCACCTTTGGGGATTTGGGGATGCGCGTTTTTTGTGCCGATCTCGGGGGGGCATTGGACGCCAGAGGGCCAGAAGTCTTCGCGCTTCGAGAGCCGCCGACGTCGCAAACTTCATTCCGCACGCACATGCTTCCGCGTACTGCCACTTGATTCGGTGTTTCCGCGTGTTTCCACATGCCGCATTCGGCTCCCATTTGCAACCGCTTGGTTTGCTGTCGTGTACGCGTGCGTTAGTCCATTGTGTTGGGTCAGCGAGCTGATATAATTCTTTACGCTTCGCGTATCCCCACCAGCCCATCTCAAAACAGCAACTCTTGCGAAGCATGCCCCCTTCGGAGAATCAATGATTGGGCGTTGAAGAAAGAGAGGATCTTTCATGAGCGCAGCCCCCTGAGAAGGGCCAAAGGGGGCGGAAACCGTAGTACAATCGATGATTCTTGCTTCACGGAAGAGGTAGTAGTAGTAGTAGTAGTAGTAGTAGTAGTAGTAGTAGTAGTAGTAGTAGTAGTAGTAGTAGTAGTAGTAGTAGTAGTAGTAGTAGTAGTAGTAGTAGTAGTAGTAGTAGTAGTAGTAGTAGTAGTAGTAGTAGTAGTAGTAGTAGTAGTAGTAGTAGTAGTAGTAGTAGTAGTAGTAGTAGTAGTAGTAGTAGTAGTAGTAGTAGTAGTAGTAGTAGTAGTAGTAGTAGTAGTAGTAGTAGTAGTAGTAGTAGTAGTAGTAGTAGTAGTAGTAGTAGTAGTAGTAGTAGTAGTAGTAGTAGTAGTAGTAGTAGTAGTAGTAGTAGTAGTAGCGTAGTAGTACACCATGCGTAGAAGTAGTAATAGTAGAGGTAGAAGTAGTAGTAGTGTGAGTGAGTGTGAGTCGAGATTCGTGGTGTGAGTCGTTTCCTCCTCGTGGTGTGAGTCGTTCGGGCGCCTCGTCCTGGTGTGAGTCGTTCGGGCCCCTCCTTGTGGTGTGAGTCGTTCGGGCTCTTCGTGGTGTGAGTCGTTCGGGCCCCTCGTCCTGGTGTGCCTCGCCTCTTGGGGCCTCTTGGGGCCTCTTGGGGGCCTCTTGGGGGCCTCTTGGGGGCCTCTTGGGGGCCTCTTGGGGCCTCGTGGGGCCTCTTGGGGGCCTCTTGGGGGCCTCTTGGGGGCCTCTTGGGGCCGCTTGGGGGCCTCTGGGGGGTCTCTTGGAGGTCTCTTGGGAGCCTCCTGGGGGCCTCTTGGGGCCATCTTCGTGCCTCTGGCGACCTCCTCAGAAGCGCAAATGAGAGCTGCCCCCTGAGAAGGACAAAATGAGCCCAAAACCTTCGTAAAATCAATGATTTTGCTATGAAGGACGAGGAGCGCTGCCCCCTCAGAAGGCCAACATGGGGCCAAAACCCTCGTAAAATCAATGTTTTTGGCTTCACAGAAGAGGAGAGGGACTTATCTCAGCCCCCCCGTCGGGGCCAGAATCCTCGTGAGGGTCGTCGTTTTTTAGCCCTCCCAGGAGTCGAAATTGACCCCCCTGACGACCCGCCGGACCCCCTCTCCAGGCCCAGGGGGAGGGGGTAGGGGGAGGGGTAAACCCCTCCCCGAAGGGGAAGAAGGGGGGTTGAGGACAGAGCGGGCTCTCTAAACCACGGTGGGATTCTGTAAATGAGACGTGGCTGCGCGAGCCAACGCCATCGTCAAATCATTGTTACGCCGACGGGTCCCATGCAGCGCTAGCGCTCTTCGTGGACCTAATGGAAAAGAGCCCTCAGCTCGCCTAACATTGATCACCATCATAAGCCATGGTGCGTCTTTGTTCTCTGCACTGAGCGGCGCATCGCCAATGAATCATGTCACCCAGACCAGTCTTGAGTTTAGGGTTGCTGTGCAGAGACGGCAGCAGGGACAATTTGAAACACACGTAGAATCGAAGCACGTTTCGATTATTTCATGTGTGTCAATCCGGATTTGCAGTGTGCACCAGCATTGCCGTCGTTGTTGCTTCCCCCATGGAAGCTATCACTGCGCAGCCCCTGCGACGACTTTGGGCTTATTGGCATCATGACCCCACAATGCGTTCTGAGGGGGAGTCGTTCCCCGACTGCTCAGGTACGTTTGTCAGCTTGTGATCAGTTGTTGCATGTTGTTGATTGATCGTGCCACGATCTTGTCCTTACCGTGATCGCTGGTCTCATCTTGTATTGGCATTGCCTCTAGTCCGGGAGCCACTACCACCCGAGCAGGTTTGGTTCCAGTAGCCTCCTGGGTGCAGTGGCACTTGCGAACTTATTCGCGCCCCCAGTCGTAGTGGCCAGAAGCGCCACGTACACTAATGGCTGCCAAAGCGAGCGCATCATTAAAGCCAAATGTGGTGTGTGGCTTCGATACCATCGAGGAGAAGGACTCTATAATTTGCTCCGCGGAGAACTTCGCGCCTTTGACATTGCCATCAGAGGCATTCTCGTTCTGCCCAGGTGCCGATGCGGTCCTGTGCCAATTCAAAAATGGTGACGCGGAGCGGAAAATATATTGTAATGTTAACGTGTCCGCGGCAGAAAAAGAACAGCTTAAGAATCTCCAGCAAGCGGCCAGAGCTGCCGACCTAAAGGTGCTCCCCTCCATAGCGGTGATGGCAACACGCTTCTTGAGCCGCACCCGTGGCGACGTCAATAAGGCTATAAAGCTCATGAAAGAGACCCAGGAGTGGAGGCAAGACTATTTCAAGAACGGCCCACTCGATGACAAGGAGCTCGCCTCAGATCTTGCACATGGCGTCATCTACTTTAGCGGCAGAGACAGGAACTTCCGGCCTGTGATCATCGTAAGGGGAAAACGAATCCCTGAAAAATGGATCAAAGAAAAAAGAACCGACCTACTCATCAGGGTGCTCGTTTTCTGCATGGAGTACATGATCCGCTATATGCTCATACCTGGCAAGGTCGAAAACCTCAATGTTATATTTGATCCCAGACGCTTACGCAATTCCGGACTTGTGGCGCTGTCCTGGACAGGGAGGACACAGTGGAGAGGAAGATGGAGGATGGTTGATGTGATGCGGAGAGGGAGGGGCAGGAATAAGAGGAGTAGGAAGAGGAAGAGATTGAGGCGGAGGAGGGGGGGAGGTGGAGGAATTTGGTGTACATTTCCCTGCCCAGAGGCCCACATCCCTCCGCGAACCTTGAAGCAAGTTGTTCCCGGGCCGCGTCGGCCCCTCAGACAGCCGCGCCCGCAATTGAACATTGAAATTGGGGGCGCAGCGTGGTCGGCAGAGTCTTGCTTCTCAGTCTCGCGGAGTGCTGACAGCGGCGGCAACGTCCACGACGGCTCCGACGTCGACGGTGGCGACGACGGTGGCGACGAGCACCAGGCGGGCGTTCAGCACGCAGGCCACTTGTGCGCGGGCCTCGGGCCATCAGAGGGGTTCTGTTCTCGACGAGGCATGGCGGGCCAGCCTCTCATGGCTTTCGGCCCATCCCGCAACCGCGGCTGAACTGTTGGCTATAGGTCTCGCGGATGCTCGCTGGCATGTCGCGGGAGGCCCTTCGGGGGTTTCTTGGGGGCCATGTTGAAGCTTCTTGGGGGCCTCTTGAGGGTCTCTTGGGGCCTCTTGGTGGCCTCTTGGGGTCTCTTGGGGCCTCCTTGGGTCCTCCTGGGGGCTCTTGGGGCGGATGACTGATTGTCGGTTCGTGTTCCCCCCTCTTGGGCCCTTCTTGGGGTGTCTTTGGGTCCTCTTGGGCCGTTTTGGCCGCCTCTGGGGCCATCTTGACATCTTGGGCAGTGTTTGTGCCCCCCTGGGCCTTTTGGGGCCGTCTTCGGGCGATCCTGGGAGCCTCCTGGGCCGTTTTGAAGCGCCGGGAGCTCGAGAAGTCGAGGTTACCAAAATCATTGAAACACTTGTGGAACAAAAACACTGATGCTTGTCTATCGGTACCCTCTTTGGCCAATTGGCAGACCCTTGAGGCGTCTTGAAGGCCTCAACAGCCGTCTTGGGACCATCTTGGGCGTCTCGGTGCGATCGTTCGGCGGCTCGGGTCCCTCTTAGGCCTTCTTGGCGCCCCTTGGGGCCCTCTTGGCACGTCTTGGGCTCTGCTTGGGCCCGAACAGGTCACGCGATAAGACGCGAGAAGCCTCATGGGGGCACGCGAGAAGCCCCAGAGGATTTTAGATTTTGGGTTCTGGGCCTCTTAAAGACTCCTCGGGAGTGCTTAAGGAATTAGGCAAAGTACCTGAGGACTTGTCCACTCCGTACCCGGCGGCACTGTGGTGGATTATGTGCCACGTTATGTTTTAGTATGCCATGATCTGCGTGCCCTGATATGTACGTCAGTTTTTGTAGTGTGTTCTTGATGTCGATTCTCCATGCCTGTTCGCTCATGCGTCGTGACGCCTGGACGGCGTGACGCCGTGACGCCTTCTCCTGGGGGCTGTCTGGTATGCAAGCTGTCGTCGTTCGTCGGGGACGCGAGACTGGACACTCCAGGGATTCCCGGGATCCTGTGGGGTCTGGCGGCCGCAGCATTTTTGCGGGGGGGGGGCTGGCGGGAGCTCTTCTCGCAAGTCTAACAGGCCTTGTTCGCTGGGGCACAGCTCGGGATGCAAAGTCAACCCTGGGGAAGCGGGACCTTCGCTGCCCTGACACGCCCGTGTTGGAATGCCACACGTGTCGTGTTCAAAACGCCCGGGTTGAGACGCTGCGTGTTGGTTCGGCGCGTGTTGGGCCACGCTGTGGCAAGCGTATCGCGCCAGACCTACCATTCAGCCTGCGTGTTGAGCTCCGTGTCGACACGCTACGTGTCTCATGTTGCGTATCGGGGCAGCTAAGAGCGGGATGGGTTCGAGGGCCCTGCGCTCGAGGGTTGACAGGACCTCAGTGCAAGCGGATCAGCGAATTGACCTTCTTCGGTCCTCGAGAGGCGTTGTTGCGGTCGCAGTGCGTTCTGTTGGGCCTGCGCCCGCCGGGTTTGGTCCCGGGCCGCTGTCACGAACGGATGTTCTGCTACATGGGGGTTCTGCCTCCGACGCGCATCGAACATCGGAGCGGATCGACGTATCCACCAGGGATCGGTGAATCCGCCACGTCGTTTGCTTGGCCTGGGAGGCAGAGGGTTCGGCGAAGGATTTCGGTGTGCAGACGCTTCAGCGTCACGCACATTGGCTGGCTGGGGCGTCTGTACATCGAGATTATTTGCCGAACGACGCGGTGTATTTATGGAGCCCCTCCCAGAGCAAATGAGGCGCCGCATGTGGGGGGGAAGGGGAGCAGGAAATCAACCCAATGGCGCCACCGATTGGCAGGGAGCGCCACCGATGAGTAGGGAGTGCCTTGCCCACGGCACCTCGCCAGGGGCCGAGGTATCCCGCGCAACTCTGTTGCGCCACTGGCTGCGGCTCAGCTCCACCGTCCGGGAACAAACTCAGAGGCAGAGCACCCAGGAGCGGCGGAGGAGGAGGAGGAGGAGGCAGGCGCGGACAGCCTGAGCGAGCACAACCCTGGGTCGGAAAGCGCACGGGCTGCATCATAGTAGAGTAGCTGCGAATCGGCCTCGAGCCGTGGCAGAAGCCTCGTCGGCCCATGAGGCGGATGGAGAAGGTTCGTCTGGTTGAAATTCATTGGTTTCTTGTATGTCCTCGGAATTCCATCTCTAGATCGCGTCCATGGGTGAGAAAGCGTAGTTTTAGCGTCGATCAGCGTCGGTTAGCTTCGATCCGCAGGAGCCAGCAAGAAGACAGGGGAGGCTTCCAGGAGTTTCCGCAGAAGGTTTGGAGGGGGGCCCATCGGGGATTTGCCAGGGCACGGTGCGCCTTGCCATAGGTGGCCACCGCGCCCGTCACAACAGGAAGGAGGAGAAGGAGGAGGAGGAGGAGGAAGGAAAGAGGGAGGATGAGGTGGAGAAGTCTCCAGGTGTTCCTGTAGGTCTCGAGACCTTAGGAGTATTCTTGGGGGCCCTCTTGGGGTGTTCGTTGTGTTTTTCTCGGTGCCGTTCTGGGGCCCCTCTGACGCTGCAGGAGAAGCTCGTGGAGGTCTGCCGGGCCTTCTCGGGGCTCTGTTGAGACCCACGGATCTTTACCAAGAGCTCCCAATCCAGCGGGAGACACGAGGCAGAGTTTAGTAGCGGGCCTCTAATTACGGCCAGGTGGGCATCGCCAGGGCCTGCTCGGGGGCACAGGAGCTCGTCCATCCCCCCCGGGCCCCGGCAAAGTCGGTTTTGGACGGTTTTGGACGCCGAGGGAGGGAGAGCAGGTGGAGAGTGACAGCCAACACCTCGCATGCCTTATCATACCTGCCGCGCGGGGTCGGCGGACTTCAAGGGCGTGAGCATCGGGTTTTCTGACGTATCCAGACTGAAAGAGGTCTACAGCGTCATGAGCCACCACTATCTCGGCCGCGTCTTCAAGTTCTACGTGTGCAATCTGAGTTCTGGCCTGAAGACTTTGACAAGCATGGTGACTGCCTTCCTGACCGACCGCCAGAAACAAAAGCTTTGCTTTGTGGACAACGTTGCGGAGTTGAGGCAGGACTTCGCTCTTCACCAGCTGGAGGAGGACTTGGGTGGTTCACGGCCTGTGGAGACGAAGTTCTATCCCTTTCCACTCCCCAGTGGGCCTTTCACTGCTGGTTTCGATGGGGGCAGTGACGGACAGTCTGTCGCAAATGGCCACGTGCTCCTGACGGAAACAGGATCTCGTGGCAGGCTGTGGGATGATTCGGTGGCCCGTGAGAACAATCTTGCGTTGGACTACGCGAGTGGGGCATTCGAACACTTCAAAAAGTTCGATCTGCCCATTCCGCCAGAGTGCGTCAAGACGAGAACGATGCAGGCGTGGTACAACATCAGAGTAGTCAGCGGGGTAGAGGTAGGGAAGACATTCTTGAGCAGCTGCGGTAATCCGCCCCAAATGCAACTGACGAGTTATGGCGATGAGGACGGAAAACAAAGATGGGTCTTAACGCAGGGAGATGGCGGTTGGTACCATATCCAGCAGGCCGGCACGTTCATGGGTGCTGCTCCGTATCTCAGTGCCCACGAGAACGGTTCATTGGTAGATTTTTGGGACACGGATGACGGGAGCGGCAGGCAGCGCTGGATCTTGGCAAAGGGAGATGATGATGGCACATGGTACACGATACAAGTTTCAAGCGGCATTTCATGCGACCGAACATACCTGAGTGCACATCAGGACGGCCACAAGCTTGACCTTTGGAGCTCCGACGATGGAAGTGGAAGGCAACGATGGGCATTGGTGCCGCCAGGCACGGCCGAGGACAAAGAAGAAGTCATCTCTCTCTGATCCCGTGTGGTTCGGCAAGCACCGACGCCGTTGGCTGGAAGTTCAGTTCGGCCCAGGCGAATGTGAGTTTTCTCACCCATACTACACCTTTGCGTGTCTGTTTAGTGCATTTGATTCTGGCATCATGCGAGAATGCCGCGAACTGTGGGCTTCACCTACTCTTCCTGTCAGCTTCTTGAGACCTGGCAGACTGGCAAGTCACTGTCTGATGGCTGGCACGCGCCATTCGACCAGTGGGCACTGGCGCAACTGCAAAGACGGTTGTGGAACGTTCACGACCACTTGTGTTTATCTTCCTTCTATCCCTCTCTCTCTCTCTCCGTTTCTCAGTCCCCTACCATTTCACCTCACTCTGCTTTTCCTCCCTCTCTCTCTCTTTCTCCCTCTCTCTCTCGCCGTCCTCACCGTCCAGTGGCATCTTGTTTTCGTTTTCAGTGATCTCTCATGCGACCCCGCTTGCGCCTCATCGTATCTTGAACTGTTCACTTCAGCGCACTGGGCTTCCATCGTGATTTTCATGTTTGATCTCTCAGATGTTCGTGCGCGTTCGGGTAACAATGAAATTTGCCATTGCTGGGCCATGTGCTGCTTGTTCGCAGCCTGTTTTGTACCTATACGACCACCCTTCGGGTGATAAGGAGGTTTTTTTGGGGGGAGACTCACCATCGCGGAGCGGAGCGTTTCAAGAGAGCCCAAGACCGCCCAAGACGGCCCACGAGGCTTCCAAGACGCCCCACGAGGCGCCCAAGGGGCGCTCCAAGAGGGCCCCAAGAGGCCAAAATCGTTGATTTTCCATCGGGGAACATACTTTTTGAGCATACGCGACTGTTCGGCTTTCACTGCGCCGACGACGGCCCAAGAGGCCCCCAAAACAGCCCCAGGACGGCCCAAGAGGCTCCCAAGAGGGCCCCAAGACGGCCCCAAGAGGGGGACCACGAACCGACAAGTCTAGCTTTTCGCTCCAAGACGCTCCCAGGAGGCTCCCAAGAGGCCCCCAAGATGCCCCCCCCCCAAGAGGCACCTCAAGAGGCCCCGGGAGGCCAACATCATTGATTTCCTATAGGAAAACGTACATGTTTAGCATGCACGGTTTTTCCGTTTTCACGGCGTTGGCGACGGCCCAAGAGGCCCCCAAGACCGCCCCAAGACGGCCCAAGAGGCTCCCAAGAGGCCCCCAAAACGCCCCAAGACGGCCCAAGAGGCGCTCAAGACGGTCAAAGAGAGCCCCAAGACGGCCACAAGAGGGGGACCACGAACCGAAAAGTTTAGCCTTTCGCCCCAAGACGCTCCCACGAGGCCCCAAGAGCCCCCCCAAGAAGCCCCAAGAGGCCCCCAAGAGGCGCCCCAAGAGGCCACCAGGAGGCCAAAATCATTGATTCCCTTAGGACAGCGTGCATTTTTAGCAGATTCGACTTTTCGGCTTTCACGGTGTTGAAGACGGCCCAAGAGGCCCCCAAGACCGCCCCAAGACGGCCCAAGAGGCCCCCAAAACGCCCCAAGAGGGCCCCAAGACTGCCCCAAGAGGGGGACCACGAACCGAACAGTTTAGCTTTTCGCCCGAAGACGCTCCCAGGAGGCTCCAACAGCCCCCCAAGAAGCCCCAAGAGGCCCCCAAGAGGCCCCAAAAGGGCTTCCGTAGCCATTTTGGCTCAAGCACTTCCCTCCCATGTGGCGCGTGGATCGGACATTGGCAATGGTTGGGCCAAAGTGCGTGGCTCTTCTGTCCGTCGTGGGCGTGGTCTTGCACGGAGTCCGCTTGACAGAGCCAGCTCCGACGGAGCAGATCTCAGCGGCTTCTACCGCAGTAGCAGGCACGACCGCTGAGCGACTGGCGAGCAGCACCAGCACCACTACCAGCAGCACGACCAGCATCACTACCAGCAGCACGACCAGCAACACTGTCAATGAGGGGCCCAGCACCACTACCAGCAGCACGACCAGCACCAGTGCCATGGCATCCGACCAAGTCGTCGTGAACATCGGATCAAGCTGGGAGAACCACATGTGTGTAAACGCTACATCATCAGTCGCTTGTGACGTTGAGGCTGCCCAGCACGGATCAAGGCTCAACAGAGGTTTCTCCGGGTCGACAGACACATTCCATGTGGTGGCGTATGGCAGTCGAGTTTGCGTGAAACGTACCGACGACGCTGTGGGTGGATGGGGTATGAATTTAACGATCGGGTGTACGAGGTCGGCTGCGGCAGTCACCAGCCCGATCACGAATCCCATACCGCGCCGATATGTGCAGGCGTGGCTTGAAGAGATGTATCCTAAACCAGAGCCGCAATTGCTTCACGCGAGGCTATCGTTCCAAGACACGTCGGCTTTTCCGGACAAGCCGTTGGTATCCATAGGTGCTATGTGCGACTGGCTGTTTATAGAGAACATGGCTGGCCCGCGCTTCCCCCTGCAATTCGTGAAGGTCCGCTCGCCCCCAAGGACTGTTTTCTTGGACTTGAGGTTCGACTTGAGAAAGATGATCCGCTTACTCAAGAAAGATGTGTTTCCCTACATCGATAAGCCGGTCGTGATCCTCACCACGTCGCAAGACAGGACAATTCCACATCAGCGTGATCGCCGATTTGGGAATCTCACTCATGAAGCGTTGCAGAGTTTTGCCAGGTTGCTGGATGATCGTCTGATCGAGCGGTGGGTGACAGAGAATTTAGACGATTCTACATTCCACGATAAGCTCGCTGGGATTCCGACTGGATTCTACACGCCCAACTGCGAGATTGCAGGACAAGCTAATCAGGATTGCAGTCAGGAGTGGTGGTCGGTAATCAAGGCTGGATGGCTGGTGCCTCTGTCGCAAAGGCCGCTCACTGTGAGCTGCAATGGCAGGTGTCATGACGAAGCCGCCGCGGGCCAGTTCACCGACAGGGTCAACGCGCTCAACAACTGCAGACCAGGCGGCTCATGGGGAGACTTCTCTGAGTTTCGAGGCGAGATGTTCAGCAATCAGTTTGCTGTTTGGTGGCAGAATCACTCTTTCGTCCTTTGCCCTCACGGCGGTGGCCTTGACCCCAGCCCAAGGGCTTTCATGGCCATCGCCTCTGGCACTATCCCAATCGTGCAGAGTACGCCTGGTCTGGACACGGTCTACTCTCAGCTCCCTGTGGCGTTTGTGCGTGATTGGGAGCCAGCGTCCATCTCCGTCGAGAAGCTGCAGCGCTGGCGGGATGATCTGGCGCCCCAGTATGAAGATCCCGAGCTTGTGGCGAAGGTGATCGCCAGACTCACAATGAAGCATTGGTGGGAGGGACAGTCAATCGCACAGTCAGGATGACGAACAAGACGAAGAGGAAGACAAATAATAAAAGGAGGAAGGCCGCCGCGCAGACAGCAGTGGGCATCCAAAGGGCTCCCACGCAGGAGGGTGCCGCGCAGACAGCGGTGGGCATCCAGAGGGCTCCCACGCAGCACGAGGAGGGTGCCGCTCAGACAGCAGGGGGCATCCAGAGGGCTCCCACCCAGAAAGAGGGCGACGAGCGAACAGCAGTGGGCAGCGAGCACATCCCTACGCAGGAAGAGAGCGCCGCGGAGGTAGAAGCGGGCATCCAGAGGGCAGCGGGGCAGAAGGCAGGCTCCAGGCGGAGAAAGGGGGGCGGCAAGCAGAGAAGCTCACAGGAGACAACCAGGCCGCGCACAGAGCATGCTGGGAGCGCTGCGCAAGCAGCACCGGGCAGCCCGAGGGTCGCGAGGGAGCTGATCAAGCGAGGCTCCCGGCAGCAGAGGAAAAGTGGCGGCAAGAGCATGGAGGAGATCGCCAGGCGGCGGAAAGAAATGAGGGTCGCAAAAAGACGGGCAGATGAGGCGGCTCGCGCACGCGCGCAGGGGACTTGAAGGAGCAGCAGGAGGAGGGCTCCCCGCCGCGCCCCTCGGCAGCGGGCCGCCCGGGAGACGGCGCTGAGCAGCTACAACGTGCCCGCGGCGAGCGCGAGCCTCGGCGGCCGCCCTCGCGCGGGTGCGCCAGGCGGCCGCGGGGCCTCGGGCGGCTCGGGTGCCAGGGCAGGGTGAGGGCAGGGCTCGTTTCGATTCCCCCGACTCGATGAATGTCGATCGCTGAGGCGGCTTATCGATTCGATTCTGGGCACTCATGCATGGACGCAGCCCCGCCCGCCCGCCGTTCGGGGCGGGTGCGGACGAGGCCGGGGACGACGAGTTGGCTTGAGCCTCGGAGGCCTGCGCAGATCTCTTGGGTCCGCGCAGGCGCCGCCCCAGGTGAAGTCGAACAGACTGTCCCCATCGCACCTGCGCAAATCTGCTGAGGAGTCTGCAAGTGACGTGGACGATGACGGGACACTTGTCGATCTCAGTATCGATCTCACCATCGATCTCACCCAACGGGACACCACGGGACACCACAGGCCACAACGGGACACCACGGGACACCGCGGGACACCTCTCGATCTCACTGTCGGTCTCATTATCGATCTCACTATTGATCTCACTCAACGGGACACCATAGGACACCCCGGGACACCACGGGACACCTCGGGACACCACATCGATCTCACTATCGATCTCACTATCGATCTCACGATCGATCTTACGCAACGGGACACCACGGGACACCTATCGGTCTCACTATCGATCTCACTATCGATCTCACGTTTTGGGACACCTCGGGGCACCACATCGATCTCAGTATCGATCTCACTATTGATCTCACTCAACGGGACTTCACGGGACACCTGTCGAACCCACTATCGATCTCATTATCGATCTCACTTTTTTTGGGACACCACGGGACACCTCGGGGCACCAAATCGATCTCAGTATCGATCTCACTGTCGATCTCACGATCGATCTCACGATCGATCTCACTCAACGGGGCACCACGCGACACCACGGGACACCACGGGACACCGCGGGACACCGCGAGCCACTGCCGGACGGGCGGGCGGGGGATAATCATTTGTCTTGACTTCGCCCTGGCAACGGCGGACACCACGGGACACCACGGGACATCACGGGACACCGCGGGGCGCCTCGAGCCACCGCCGGACGGGCGGGCTGGGTAGGATCATTTGTTTTGAATTCGCCCTAGCAACGGCGGGTTCATTCCTCTCGCGCGCCCACGCAGCTTCGCTTCGCCTGCACGCACGACACGAACGAAACGAAACGGTTTCCTGGTTGGGGGTCTCCGTTCCACTGCGATCTCACCCCCCAACCTCCGATCCATCGCCCCCCATTTTGGCCGTACTCGATTTCGGGCGTTAGGGGTGCATGCCCAGTCAGTCAGTTGGAGAATCCATAGTGCTAGTAGACAGGGGCCCCACGTTGTGAAGGGACAGCGCTGTTCGACGCCTGGGATGAAGTGAGCTCGGTGCTGTAATTCTTTGTGCATTGAGCTTCCTCGAACTCCCGAGCGGGATCCTTGGGACTCCAGTGTACATGAGCCGTCGTGGTGTTCCCCAGGCCCGAGCTAATAACTGTGTTCTACAAGCTCCAGCTGCACACGATTGCACGGTACTTGCTGTGATCGGTTGTCTGTTTTTTGTTGGCGTTCGGGTGTGTTCTTCAGCTTTCCCAATTGCCGTTCTGGAGATTGACGACTGCTTGTTTGAATGATTGTTCGTTCGCCTGGATGTCTCCCGAGAAGCATGTCTGTAACGGATCGGTTGTCTAAGGCATTGGTAGGCACATTTCCGGATCCAGGATCGATCGGGTGTCGTTGTTTCCAGTTGTCTCCCGTTATCTCCCGGGGCATCCCGCTGCCTCCCGTTACCCCCCGCTGTCTTCCGTGGCTTCTTGCTGTTTCCCATCCCTTTTGCCTTCACCATTATCCTTATTATTATCCCTATTCTTTTATCCCTATCCCTTTTTCCTATCCCTATCCATGTTTTCTTATTCCTTGTTCCTGTTCTTATCCCTGTTTGCCTTTCTTTTCCCTATTCTTATCCGTATCCCTTTACCCCCATCCCAGTTGAACTAGCCCTATTTCCTACCCCATTGCCGATCCTGACCCCCCCCCAACGTGACCCCCCCTTCGTGGCCACCATCGCTACCGTGCAACGCTGTTTAGGTCACTCTGCCGCAAGGGTGTCAAAAGTACATGCGCACGCGGGCGCGCGTACGCGTGCGCGCGTGCGCGATAAGCAGAATGTGTCGTGCCACTCGGATCATACCATGTGGAGGTCTAGATTGCGAGTTCCATAGCTGGTCTTCACCCGTCGATTTTCTAAGTGGAAGATGAAACCATGCCTCAGTTTTCACATGGAGCATGCGTGCGCACGAAGGCAAGCACGCGCGCACAGTAAGAGCAGCGCGTTGTACCACAACGCAGCAGGTCTAGAACGTGAGTGCAATCATCGGTTTTACCAACCCGTTTTTTTGAAACATAAGTTGCTCTTCCCGATTGACTTTTTTTATGGCGCACGCGGGCGCGCTTACTCGCAAGTAAGCGCGCACCCGCGCGAATGAGAAACGTGCACCGCGCCACAATATCATATCATGTTGAGCCTTGGAATGCGAGTGGAGACACTGGTTTTCACCATCCGATGTTCGGAGGCAACCCGGTCATCCGTAACTGACTGTCATATGACGCACGCGTGCGCGCGAACACGCACGCACGCACGCGCAGTTAGAATCTAGAATGTTGTCACAATGGATCGTATCATGTTGAGGCCTAAGTTGCGAATGGACAATCGGTGTTCGTTCGAATTTAAGCTGGCTCTCGTCATGCGGGTCTCATGTTGAGGCATAGAAGGTGGGTGAGACAACTTGTGTTCAGCATTCAGTTGTCGACGTTCACTTGGCAAGTCCCAATTGGTTATCATATGGCGCACGCGGGCGCGCGGGCGCGAGCATTCGCGCGCACGCGCGCGCAATGAGACGAGTGTATCGTGTCACCGTGCAGCATGTCATGTTGAGGCCTAAATGCGAGTGGAACGTCTGGTTTGCATCATTCGGCTTGTGGGGTTACATTGGCCATTCCCGATGGGTGATCACAGGCGCGCGCGTGTGCGCGTTCGCCTGCTCGTGAAGCGCGCCACTACTCGGCGTATCTTGTTGAGGCCTAGCCTAGAACGCGAGATATTTAGTAGGTTTTCACCATTCAGTTTTCGAGGTTGGATTTGGCCATTCTCAATCGATATATCGCCACATTGCGCATGCGAGCGCACACAACATAATAATGTGGTGGGCCGCGATACAGCGTGTCATATTGATGCCTAGGGTACGAGTGCAGCAGCTGGTTTTCACAATTCAGTTTTTGAAAGTGACTTGGCCATTACCTGTTGTTTTTTATGGCGCACGCGCGTGTGCGCAATAGGAACGACGCATCGTGTCACAACACATCCCATTACGTGGAGACCTGGGATTCGTTGGGGGCACATCTTGTCACTTGTAAGCTTTCGGGTCCCAGGTCGCTGATGAGAACCAGGCTGATTAAGCGAAGAAGCTGGCAGGAATCCGGGGTACCTTGAGAGTTCCTTCGCCAGTCACCCTGGCTGTTCGTCCAGTGCGATGCATCTGTCTGCGGGGGCTCGTGGGCCTGACGTGGGAACGCTGGGACGTTCGGGGCGCATGCGCGATATTCCAGGACACTGAAAACCATAGTGTAGGTCTTGGGCTGCTTCGTCCACCCCAGACACTGCAAATCAACGCTATTCTCTGGGCAGGGAGAAGACGTTCTCTTACGGCGTATGCGAGGCCTGATGTTGGCATGTTCGATCGCCTTTTGGTTTCTTGGTGTTAGATGTTATACGCAAGTAGTCATATGTCCTGCTCGGGTCAACGTTCCTTTGATGTTGTTCGTCCCCAGCCGAGGTTCAAGACATCCAACCCTGGGCCAAGAAACCTCAGCGGACTTCAGAGCTTGGTTTCGTCGTTGGTTTCTTGTGGGTAAAATTCCCATTGTAAGCCAGAGCGCGGAGCGCCAGGCGGGTTGCGGGCTTGTCGCCACGGCAGTATGATGTGCCCCGCATGCCTTTCTTCTTATTTCTGCCACGAAGCGCCGGGCACAACTATGTGTTATTTGCCCCCCTCCCGACGTTTTGCCCCCCCACCCGACTGATTGAGGTTGTTGGATTTCAAGAACGGGCCCCCCGGCCAACCCCACACCGCTTGCCTCGACCGCCAGACCCCAAGTTGCCCCGATGATCCCCGATGGTCTTTGGTGTCCCGCCCCGCGCCCTCGACGAAGAGGACAGAGTAGTGCACGACAGAACGACACAGAGCATGACAGAACATGCCAGATCAGAACATGTCAATATCATGACAAACTAGAGCATCACATAACATCAGAGAACGTACCAGAGCAGAGCATGACATAAGAGGAGACGACAGAACACAACAAGACATGATATAATCGATCATCTCATAACACACACTTTGGCGGATTGGATCATACCATGACGCAGCATCACATATCATTTCATATCACGACGGCAGAGGATGCTATGACGAGCACGACCCAACTCAATATGGCACAGCAGAACATGACAGACCAGAACACGAGCATGACACACCATGACACAACATACCATAGCAATGTCATGACGGAGTGGATCATACCAGACCAGCACAGCACATACCAGGGCAGCACATGCCAGAGCAGAAGACGACAGAACACAGCATACCAGAACAGAGCCGAGCATCACATAACACACCCTGGCACAGCATATCATATCATGGCACAGCATCACATTACATATTATAACACGACAACAGAGTCTAGCGACGACGAACACAACAGAGCACAACATGGCACCATTGGACACGCACCATAGGACACGAGCAACACATACCATGACAGAACATAGCATGATAATGCCACGGCAACATAGGGCGTACCATAACATCACATATTATACCAGAGCAGAACATGGCACCCCTGAAGGCGACATAACGTAGAAGAGCCGAGCATACCATAACATACTTTAGCTTACCATAGCATGGCATGACCCAGCATACCATAACACATCATAACACGACAGCAGAGCATAGCAACACAGACTAACAGAGCATATCATTTAATACTATACACAGTGGAGCCGTCAACAACCATAACATCACAGAGCATACCATAGCGTAGCATGACATAACATAAGACGACATAACACAGCATGCCACATCATAACCGATAATACCATACCATATTTTGATGTATCATTTCGTAACATGACACATCACCACAGTATCACCGAGCATATCATAACACGACAGCAGAGCATAGCAGCACATATTTGCAGAGCAGGTCATAGTTTACTATGTCGAGCCGAGCCGCCAACAATCATACCATCAAACAGCATACCATACAATAACATGACAGAGCACAAGACGACATCACCCGACATTGCATACCAT